TCTTTCCCTTCTGACTCCAGAGCTCCCTGTTGCTGTAGCACAGGAAGGAACTGCAGATTGCAGATAGTGATTGCACAGTCACTTGAAGTGCAGTGTAGCAAGAACAAGCTTAAAATAATCTTTTCTTGGTTACATTATTTTTCATCAAGTCCATTTCCCATCATTTCAGAGCAGTTATTTCTGTATCAAGTACAGTAGTATATGCTTTGTGTCCTTCAGGGAAAGCTTGCATGGACTAGTGGTTTCACTGAGTTGTGCAAGCAGGGTAGGTGTTCCTGTAACAGGGGATACAAATTAAACCTCTCCTGTTTTTCAAATGAATCATGCAAGTCAGTGCACAAGAAAAATAAGAATGAAAATAAAATCTGTGCCACTTTCCAGTAACACAGCATTCAGTTTGCCAGTAATCACATGGTAATTGCATGTGTGTGTGTGTGTTTAAAAAAATTATCTGTCCACAGTAACTCGTGACACAGCTCCATGTCATCTTGTCATCTAGTGATACATTGATGGTTTACTAGTATACATAAAAAACTAGGTCAGGGATGGAACAGTAAGAGTGCAGATCACTGCTAAATAAATATACATCCTTATAGCAGATGCTGTACAGTTCCATCTGTTATTTTGCCCCTGGCCACAGCACATTGACCAGCAGATAAATGCCAAGTGTTTGCTCTGTGAATTTTCTTACAAAGAGAATTTTGTATTTTCACAGGAAATGGCAAGACCTGTTGCTGTTCTGTCATCTTCGGAGTATGGAAGACGCATAAATAAGCCCATAGAGCAGCTGATCAGAGATCATGCAAGGGTTAATCGCATGCAGGCAGAATTCTACAGGAAAAATGGCATCATCTGCTTATTAGCAAAACCCGGCCTGGATCCATGCTAAATCTCTTGTACATGTCATTACCAGCAACATTTATGTGGAAAAAAACCCGCCTTGCATCAAAAAGCAATATGGTGCTTTTGCCTTTCCCTCTACATTTTAGTTAATGAGAATGATTTGTATTAAAAATAGGATGAAATAGCAACTGTACTTTTCTTCATGCTACTTCAAATACATGTCTTCTCTTTACAGTCTCATATAAAGCTCATAAAGAAGAGCATCAGCAAGAGCTGAACGTCATAGGTAGCAAGGCTGGAAACGAGACCTGTTGGGTGAACAGCTGCTTCCCTGCTATTTCAGGCAGTGCTTCCACATAACTATTCACAGACTTAACATTTAAGTGAGCTTGCTTCTCAAGGTATCAGTGGTTACTGACTTCTTAATCCGTACAGGGATTACAAAATTGCTAGGTGTTATTTTGTCTGTACAACAGCTGAAACCGGGATTCAACACAGATTTTCCAAAATAGATGGGCTTACCCATAAATGGGCAAGGAAAGAACCAATCTGACTTAAGAGAAGTGCTTAGCAGTTTCCACAGACTTCAAGTGGAAGACAAGTTAACTGAGTACTTAGCATTTAAACAGACAAAATCTGGGCTTGGCTGATTTCAGACATCCATTTTGCTGACTTTCACTATACAAATGGTGACAGAGTGATTGATCTGTTCAAGAATGTCAGAAGAAAAATCATCTGTATCCAATGCTGAAAAAAAAAAGTAATGTTAGGATAACAAGCACTAAATAGTATGGAAGAAAGGATGGCAAAAACACAAGGGTTTGAGCAGTAGCCATTTAAAAAGCGTGATTAGAGTATATGTCTAAATCTGCTTAAACATTTAGTGCCTTGTGTTCTCACTGAATCCAGTACTCCAGTTACAAGGTAATTTCAGGAGGACTGTCTCCTGCAGAGTGTGCATCAGTTTGGTTCTCAAGTGCCATTGATCCTGCTGTTGTTTAAAGCTAAGGCAGTACTTGCTCAGAAAGGAACAACAGCCGGACTGATCATACCAGAACGAAGACTGTAAGTCCACAGCTTTGACTGACACTGGAGTTGTGTCAGCTACTTACACATAGGAAACCTATGTATTTGTGAACACAGTGAGTCTCCTAGTAAAAAGTAATGAAAACAAAGAACTGCTTAATCTGTGGCCTGGATAAGTAGTAAATCAGGCCATCAATACCACTTGTTTGGCATGATGTGAGAAGCAGAGCACACAGAGCAGCCCATTCCAGGAGGGGTTTCTTACTTTCATTATGCATGACCTGTAAGTTCCTTTACATTCAATAAGCTAGCAACAAGGGGGCAGTAACTGCTACATTCCTTTTCAACAATAAATACTTCATTAAACAACTCCAGCAGTATTAAATGAAAAGGAATCAAAGTGAGAAGGAAATGTTTTCTAACAATACCAGAATGTTTTTTCAGGAATCAGTGTCAAGTGTATAACAGTGAAGAATGACATGGAATATGGCCATATTCTAGGCAGCTTATTTTTAGTTTGGGACAGTCAGTACAAATTACTTCTTTTAAGTAGTCTTGCTGTATTTACAAACCATCTGTGTTTGAAAAACTACAAGCAATCATTTGTTTGAGAACACCACCACCTTCTGGCCTCTGTGAGAAACAGGCATCATCAGCTCACTTCCACCGTGGGGAAAGGCATGAGTCATCAAAACACCAGTGTGAAGTTTTCCCATCTCCTCTTTTTGCTTAGGTTACCCCCTTCTCTTTCAGTCCCTTCTCATCCCTCCCCACTTTTGAAGGCTTTTCACAGGCTGTTCCTCCTATTACTTGTTTCTCATTCAGTTCTGAGTGGCTGATTTCTCCCTTCAGTGCTCAGTTAGTGTCGAAAGAATACCTTGACAATTTCTTCTGTATTAGGGAGAAGTTCCTTGTAAATGTCTGAAAAGACATTCCAGTCATTCTCCTTCCATTTTTCTTTTGCTAGGATGACAGCTGGTAGGTTAACCATGTGCGGTAAGCTTCCCAATACGCTGTTGGAAAGTGTCTTGTTACCTCCTGGTGCTCCCTTACCTGTCAGTGATGACATACCACTATGAGTAAGGGTTTTACACATGCAACAAAGTAACATTAACAGAATGCACAGCATGACACAATGTACATCATATTTTGGAACTGGATTTTGCATCCCAAAACCTCCAGGGATTGTTGGAACAATTGATCGACATCTGCAACTCACAAATTATTAATAGTAGCCTTGGAAGGAAAAAAATGGCCACGTTCTGTATCTACTGGTGAAACACACAGAACTTCAAGGATGTAAAAGTTTCACCTGTTTTTTATCAAATCGTAATACCTAAAATCAAACCAGCTCATGCTGGAATTTCTGCTTTGCTACTCATAAATAATAATTCCACATAGGACAGCATGCACAAGCGAGCCTGCAAATGTGTTTTACATGGCAGTTCAGAGTATATGTTACGTGAGCGGAACTAAGGCTATGTTATTTTCCCTTCGTCCATCTGTAAAGCAGCACGTTGACCCAAGTTAGGGCATGATTGTTCCAGCTGAAGTGGTTACTGGTTCCAGTTCTCAGTTCCACCCTTGTGCCAGAAATTATACCCGTACATAAAAAAGGACTGCGCAGGACATAGTTCTTCAGAGCTTCAGAGCGTAATGAGTTTCAGTTTAGGCTCGAATGGCAGGCTGTAAACTGAAGGAACTCTGGAGTGCACACGTGACCCCATTTAGCCAGGTTAGCTAAAATGCCACCAAAGACAAAACTACAAATAGTACATACCCACAGAGACAGCTGTGCAAATCCACTACCCTACAGCAGCTGTTCTTTTACAGAGTAACGTGAATCTTTTTAAAGAATGCTCTCATCTTCTGTAAGGCATTGCTATTTCGTGAACAGCATTCTACATCTCTTAAGTATGAGCAATAAGTCAATTCTGCTTGTGCAACTACTGCAAATTTTAGTTTTATGAAACACTTGGGAAATCACACAAACAGCTATGAGTAAATTGGACAATTTCTTTTTGTACTGTCAAGAAGAGCCCTGATTGGTAGGTAGCATGGCACATTCTGTACATTCAGCACCAGCCAGTATGCTTGAATAGCCCATCTGTGCATTTGCAGTTGAGTTAGAACCAGTGAAAATACAAAGGAAATGCAGCACTGACTTTCTGGCACTTAGATCTGTTAACTTATAATAAATATTTACACAGAACTTAAGAAAACATGTTGCTCTTTATTACTCTTTACATGTCAGTAGTTCCACATATTGGAATGTCTCACATTCAGAAGCTCAAATTATCTTGGATGGAGTTATTTAGAAAACAGAATTGTTCTTCCATGCACAATATTTACACTTCATACGTCAACCTGTGATTTAGTGTTGTTCTCCAGTGTCATCAGCTGAGTCCATATGTATGAGGAAAGATCTTCTTGTGTAGATAATCTGCCACCTTTCTGCAATTTTGTAGACTGTCTATCTCAAAAAATGAAATCTGGGAAAAAAACAAAAATGATTGCTGGAAATACCTTTTAATAAACAACTGGGTAAGACTGATGCTCATTAAGCATATGTAAAACTACGCATCAAAGATTTGTCCATTTTAAAATTAAACATTTAATCCTAAGCGTATTATTGATCTGTAAATCACCTGCATAGAGATCACTCTAAAACAGTGATATCCATTACAATTTAAACTAAGTTAATAACAGAGTTAGGCTTATGATGTAAGTGATTATAAATGGGAAAGAAAATTCCAAAGTCTAGAAGTAACTTTTTTGGTCTAAAGTTTGTTTAAAAATAAAAATACCCCTATTAATTCAACAGGCAAAATAAAGGATATACTCTGTTGTGAAAATACTACTTACAATACAAAGCAGTTCCTTTTTTTTTTTTTAACTCCTCTTTTTAAACTCTAAATTCAAATTGAAAATCCCAATTCTACTAAACCCTTAGACAATGTTTTCCTTTAAGTCAAGATTTGAACCTTAATCACTGTAGAGAAGTACTCTTTCATGCAGCCACTATTTGGCAGAAAACACAGGCAGAATATACCCATTGATTCAAGGAAGAAAAGGAAATTCTGTAACACCCTCAAAAAGGCAAAAGCTAGGCAGAGAGAACATAACATAGAAAGGACAAGACTACATCTGCCTTAGGAAGTAATTGCAGGTATAGTTTTAAGCATTATAAAATAATCATTTTTCACTTGCTTTGTTAGCCAGAGCAAACGCAAACCACTGTCTTTGGACTTTACCTGCACAACTTCATAACCAAGTAACTGAAGATGTCTCTGTTTAATAGCTTCTTCTCCCAACAGATTGTGGCTGTTAACGCAAAATCTGTTTTGACCATCAACACAGAGGGCGATTCTAAAATCAAGCACAAGTGTGGCATAAAAAAAAAAAAAATCGACTATTATAATCAACCACAACTACAGCAGTTCCTAAGAAGCATGACACAATACTCTTACTCCCTAATACCTCCTAGAATTAGATGTTGTGGGATGGGAGTTCCCTAGTTCAGGACCATTTAAATCACTCAATTTAAGGGTGGGAGGGGGAAAGCCTGAAGATTAGTGAAACTGATCTGGAAAGCTTATTTATATGCTCTGAACAAAAATTACCATACAAGTTAGTAAGAGTTTGATATTTTTAATGCTACTATTGTTAAGCTGTTTTAAATTCTTCTAGAAGGAAAAACATACAAAATTCTTGTCTCAGCGTGAAAACATTTCAGCAGCTGAATTTATTCAACTTCAATATTAGTGAACATGTTAAAGTTAAGTTCATGCTAACTCTGTTTAAGTTAAACCTGTATGTAGGGTTGGCAGCATCATGGACTATAACTATATTTTTTCTCCTTGGTGATAAAAACCGCATCAAATTCAACCAAAATTTGTATATCCACTGTAAAAAAGTGGCTTAAATTTTCAGTATGTTAAGTATACTGTGACCTTATTTACACATGAAAGGTGTCATTTAACAAAAAAAAAATCAAAGCCCTTTCCTAAACATTTAAGC